TACACATAAAGCTCGGTTATGGATTTCAGACTTTCATGACGCTCATGTCTACTCCTGCAGGAAACACTCTGCTTTAAAAATTTGCAACTTTTCACGAATTCTGTTTCCAAATTGGCTTTGTTTCTGGCCAATTCAACCTCCTCGAAGCTCAAGATTCCCCAAGCAATAAACTGTTTAGTGTATTCTCTATCGGTCCTTCCACTGGGAAGGTTTTGGACTTTTCCATTGATTTTTCCATTATAGGCCCGACATTGGCGTTTTATTAATCATTAGCCCGATCCCTGGTTGGGGCTGCACCGAGACTGCTCGGTCCTTCGGGCATTATCCAAAATTTATTCACTGCTCTTTCTAAAGTGCCACTACGATTCCGGATTACCTATTTCACAGGCATGAACGTTTTCTAATCCTATACCGTACTATCCGTGGAACCTTTTCCCCAATTTAATATTGCAAAGCTGTTCGGAGTTTGGACAGTTGCGAAAGCAGGAAAATACATTTTTAACCTGCTAAATCGGCAAAATAGTATGCAGACGATAAAAGTTTCTGGATCTTTGCATTTGGACACAAATAAGGATATGTTAGTAATGAACTATGCAAATTACCCAGTCGATTAGTAAGCTCATTCTCAAACGCCCAAACCTAGATTATTGAAACGCTTGAATGTTTAGGCACGAACTGATAAAATTCCGAACAAAACACTTCTGAGGAAGCAAGGCACTCGTGACTGTGAAATGGCAGAAAAAAGTTATTTTTGACCCCCAAAAACTCATCAGTTTCTACCAATGGTCGCGCCCCTTTGCATCTTTAAGTTTTTAGTAATCGATTTGGTTCCATTTTTATTCAATCGTCTTGGGGTCAAAAGTATTTGTGGTCTTATTTTGGAAACCAATTCATTTTTCAAGTCTAAAGGAAATCGCATAGTTTCATATTTAAAGATTTTAACTAGTAGTCTAACTGCTTGCCAATACAAAAAAAGTGTTGGTGAAAAAGCCGTAAAATTTAAATAACGAAATAATTAAATTCAGTAAATAAAGAAAAGTAAAAAACAGAAGATATGAAATCAATTACAGGCTATAAAGCGCTTTGAAGACTGTCTATAACACGTTTTTGTTAGAATCCATTGGGTTCAATATACCAGCCACTACCCTAATGAATATACAAAATGGTCGTTAAGTTAGACAAGTTTATGTGACAAGTGCATTTATTTTTAAGAATACCACGAATAAGTCACTAACAGCGCCTTAACAAAGAACTTAATAATTAGGATGGAAGCTTTATAGCATCCCGTCTACATTAACGTCGCCTTCTTCGAGTGGTTTTATACGAACTCGTTTGCTTTTTCAGTTAATGAATCAATTTACGAGCTTGCTAAAAAGTGTCGGTAAATCTTCAGAAGGTCCATTCAGGTAAGAAAAAGTGATTTGTCAATATAATCAGATTTTCTGCAGATATGCGAGTTAATCGGTTCAATACAAATAGTTTTATTAAGCTTCCCTTCCACTGTTCTCTCAAACAACGCATAAATCACTCGCCATCCAACCGTATGATTAATTAGAAAAAAACTGTAGAAAAACAGGAACATTAGTTTCGTATATCTTCGAGGTCACGCAATACCCAAATTATAGGGCGTGGTTCGGAGATCTGCCATTTTCTTAATTATCGCCTAGCTTTGATTTATTAGATTCTGCTATCGGGGTTGTGCTCCGGCAATTAGACAATATGGACTCGCTGGCAGAAATCCATCTTAATGAAAATGTAGCGGAAAAAATATTATAACCGGCCGGAAAAATTAAGATACATCGACGGCGGGCGAAAATTGAGTCTTTATTTAGTTCAGGAAATTTATTTGGAAGGGAATTGCTGTTTTTCACTAGTTAACTGAAATGAAAAAATATCTACTAGATAAAATGGTTGGTTTCAGTCCAAATTTAATTTAAACCACGACTTTTGTTCAATCTAGCTTAAAGCTAGAAGCAAAATGAATTGATAGCAAAATGTGATTGCCAAAAGACAGCCAACAGCAGTAACCCCTAATTTACATAAAATAAAGAAACACAAATCACATACCTATTTTTAAATTGTTGAAAATATTAAATACATTGATCACTAATAGGGCAACCAACAATCACCATAGTCAAAAGTACCAGATTTGTTACACGAGTCCGATTTATGTCTCACTACTCTTTTGGCTCTTATGCACCAATCTTACGAATCCACTTGAGCAGACGTAATATAATATTCCACATGTGGTAGCAATCGGCAGGCAGCATCATAAATTCAAGATAGATTTACTACCTTTTAATAGCATCCGAGAAAATGGCAGATTAGTCGAAGGTATAATTTCTCAAGCTACTGATTTTTAAGATTAATTTCCAAGCATTCGTTAAAATAATAGTAGCTACAGGGCAAACCAATTATTTTTGACTGTTTATCTAAAGCGAAAATTATCTTTTCAATATCGTTAATCCAATAACGTTTTAAACAGAAACAGGAATCGCTTTGGCATAATTTATTTATCCAAGTTGATTGTGCTCTGAAAATGAAAGTCTGATAAAAAAACAAACGTTACAAGTAAGAAACCATACCGAAAAAAAAACTCAATTATGTCCGACAGAAAACAAAATCTACAACATCTTTCCGGTGTAAGTATGCATTTCTAAAATTGAGCAGCACATGTTAGTCAAGGTTGGGAACAAGTGAACGTTTAGCCAAGTAAATCCTTCACTAACTGGATTGTCATTTAAATTAAACGATTTTTAGAAACCCTCTAAGCTGACATGACAGCAGATTTGTTCTATTTTGCATGAGGTGGGTCTGGCTACATTACACAGAAAATCCTTATTTTAACCGCGAATTTATTAAGAAATCATCCGTATCCAGGGAAAAGTAACAACATCGTTTTGCCAAAAATAATAGATAGTTCTTACAATAACTATCTAAAAAATTCTGCAGCAGATAGTTATTTTAAATTGAAAAATGTATTTTTATCGATGTACTTCACAATCAACCAAGATAAATTTACAACGAAATACATTCAGTACTGTAGTATGTTCGGTTTCGAAAAGCGAATATAATTTTTCAAACAGTATTTTGATTTTGATATATAAATTAACATGAATAATATACCTAGATCGCTAACGCGAAGCAATCTACTGAGCAAACAACGTAATGAACACCAAGAGGTCATCATTTCTTACATCCGCCTGCCAAATAAAGCCGTTGATAAAATCCGTAAAACAACCGCTAAAGTTGAAACGATGTGTCCGTAAAACATTAATCTGCATTAACCGTACCAATGTAACACGATTATTAAAATTTATACAAATTAAAACGGGCAAGAACTTTATTAAAATAAAGAAGCTCCGAAATCTCGTTAAAGTCTTGGGAGGTCGCGTAAAAAATTGATTAATAATTTCAAAGCACATTATGTGCAGACCTAAGCAGTTTAATTTAATGAAGTTTCACCCCTGTTGTCATTTATTCCGCTTTGACGATATATTTAACTTAATCGAGCATAAATTTAAATAAGATTTTCGAAACGTAAGATTTAGTGGATGGAACTTGATAACAAGGTTTATGAAACAATAACGTATTGGCGCGTTAAATGTGTTACCAAAATCAGTTAGTTAACCAGTTCAACCAGAAAAGAAGAAATTAATAAAAATATCTTTATTACCTTTCAAGATGCACATTTTGTATAAACAAGCGAACCTCGTTAACCGAACTCGTTAACCAGATTTCATAATTTGCAAGTATTAAATTAAGTCTAACATTTGATTCTTGCATTAAAATAAACGAAACCTTGAGAATGCAATTAAATAACTTATCGGCAAAAAATATCAGTTAGTTCATATTTATTCCCTAGCAATAACGTCAAGGTTTTCGAATCCGATGCAATTATTTGCAAACGGTTTTCAATGACTTCCTGCTAACTGACATGGCCAAAGTATTGGCTCCGGTATTGTTGAAAAATATATATTACGCAATTCAGCACAATTTACCATTATGTGACCGCATTGTGCAATATTTACATGCTAACAGCAAACTGCATGCCTAGTCATTATTGCAAAAAGGGGGGGTAACTTTCGCAGGAAAATTTTCACAAATGGAAAAAGTATTGTGTAGAAAATAAACCAAAGTAAATATTGTGAGTGTCTCGATTTCCTTATAAAAGGAATTTGAGTTTTAATTCAAGTCACATAAAAAGATAAAAGATTGAAAATAAACTGAGAAATTGAAATAGTTGGAAAAGCCTTACACGTGGATGGCCTTTTTAATTCAACTTTCCGTCGCCACCGCTTTATAAAAATCCCAATTTAAAATATGTTCAGTTACTAATTTATCCATTAGATTTCTGCTCGAATCCGAATAAATTTTCGCGGTTTATTTAAATTATTAACGTTTGGTGCGTTTTTATTTTTCGCTGCGGAAACTGTATATTTTTCAATAGATTCGCTTTTTGGCGATAGCGAGGAAACTATACATAATTTACTGTTTACATAGTAAACGATTTATTGCACAAGAGATCTATTTGTTTAGAATCAAACGGAACAAATGGAAACTTCAGCATGAAAACAATGGTGACATTTGCAGTGCAGTTTGGGAAAATAAAAATATCGCTATTGAGATGAGAATATAAATTGCGGGAAAAATTGCCAAAAAAACACAGGTTTTATTATTTTACACACATTTTTTTATAAGGCGTAATTTGAAAAACGTTGAGTGTGAATTGCTGATTAAAATTTCTAGATAACATGTGAAAGGAGGTTTTATATTTCCTATTTGAAACCAGAGTTTTGGACGAATATTTTAATGAAGTAAAAACCTCAAGCTCGTCATAAATCAAACGAGTCAAGGATTTCAGGCAAATCCACAAAGATAACGCCTGCATTTCAACAACCGCGTAAAAGGAAGCACCTGTAATAATTATACGTGCAAACGAGTCATGTCAAAAAATATATTTAAAAAGCAGCTGCTCTTAAAATTACATGTAATATTACCTGCAACTGGCGACAATTTTCGCATGACACACCATCTTGATTTCCACTAAAAAAATAAATAAAATAAATTATTACATGAAAATCGTAGCAATGTCAGGCACTAGATAATGCAGGCAGGCAGGGCAACGAAGCTGATCAATTCACTGATGAAATTTGGACAAAATTCACTCGTAACAATTATATTTTCTGTTTGAATTAGCATATTTAGCAAATAATAAATGTGGATTTTTGGGGAGAAGTTGATTTTGAGGTCCAGTCCTTCTCCGGCACTGGCTGCAGTCGTTTAGAGGCGGGTACTGTTAACAGCAGGCTTTAAGATCAGGGTGCTAAAAACCTCTCAAGATTGCCAGATGTACATGTCCCTTAGATAAGGGTCGTTTCGGTTGCCGCTTGTCTTCAGCTTGTGCAATTGATACAGATAATAGGAGATAGCAGAAGTCATAATCGATTTTTGACAGCATACAATAGATGAAAAGTCCCCCAGTATCCCCTGGCAAACAGTAGCCACAAAGACGAAGCATGTGATCGATTTTTAACAAAAACCTATACATTTTGCTGTGTTTGGTGGCATTTGTTTTCAAATAGATTGTACCATATTATTTTTAAATGAGATTAATGGCATTTGTTGAATGCAAAAAATGTCTCTACTAAAAAAGAATAGAGCTGAAAAGCAACATTTTTCCGATTAATTTTATAATCGATGACTAATCCAGAACACTGCGTCACTCAACATTCGCAACGTATAACGGGGAAATCATAAAAGAAATACGAAAAAACTTATTATTTAAACAATATAATTTAAAACTTCAACGGTCACTAAAGATATTATTGACTCATTCCCCTTCCAATAGACAGTATTACAATTTAAATCAAGACTGCAGTTAGTAAAAAAATTGTTGAAAAGTAGAAACAAATCAATCAATGACTATCACTTGGATTATTACAAAATCGGAAACCAGAACTTAATCCAAAGTGCAAAATGCCAAAAAATCCTATTTCACTTCTGAGCATTCTCTTTCGTGAATTGTTCAACAATGACTATCAGGTTTTGCATCAAGCGTTCGTATAAATCATGTATAACAGCAAAACAAGAAATATTCCTTCCGTGAATCGTAATCTGCAGAAGCGGTTTAATCGTAACATAAGCCAATACTGGAAGATTATTTTTAATTACTAATAATAGCTGCTTTTTAGTAGTGGTTAGTTGAAAGACAATGAAACCGGCCTTGAACCGCAAAAACTTCATTAAAACGTGCTACTGAAGTTAATGCCCTTCTTTGTCTTGTTTTTATAAGTCCTTGAAACTGGAATTATTATTGAACATAACGTTTTCAATGGGCTACTTGCACGCATCGGAAATATTGAATTTGCATGCATGCTCAATCAGCACTCTTCAGAATCATCTTCTATAATCAGATACAATAAGAATGTTTAGCAAGATTATGCAGGAACGTAATTTTTTAAATTTACACATAAAAACGTCTGAACAATAATTGGCAAATACTACCTTGAAACCACACGTTACAAAAACCTCTCAAAATAACCTTGTTTGGCTATTCCCAAGCTTGTGCTGGACATATTTCAACCAAAACGGGTTTTTTACTTTTTAAACCGTCAAATTGGCTAACTGTGTTTATAATTAGATGTTATTTCGTGTCACCGAACACAAGACATGGCTTTCTAAGCAGTTTTGAATCAAGTCTAATAAATCACTCAAACCTCTACTAAAACACAGAAACTCTAGTTCTTTTTAGGGCAGCTGCACTGGCTTTAGTTTCAAATTTCTCACAGTTTACCAACCCCTCCAGACCTCAGAAACATATTTTATATCGGGATCCATTGGGTGCCTTTAGAATAATAAGGAAACCCCAATAAAAGACCATTGGTTTCTTCAGTTGCTTTGCGGTATCAGATTACATAAACCCATAAAGCATATCGCCTCGAGGGAGGTAAAAGTGGGTTACGTGTTAATAAATAAAACGGGATGCTTCCCAATTCATTGGCGTGCCACTTTAACATTTACTTAAATCAAATGCTCATGAATAATGGAGAGTTTATGGTGGAAGAAAATTTTGAGGAAACGTAGCGACTCATATAGTTACACGCAAATTAACGTTTCTTCTATATATGGAGAAATATATAACAATAAAAGGACACTTCGCAGACCAATAAAATCAAAGCGGAAGATTGGAAATATCATGGATGGAAGACCAAAAAGAAGACTGCGATATAGAATTGATAGACAGTATGATAGAATAGATCTTGCAGCATCTTAAAAATCGAAAAACCCCAAGATCGGGTCTTGATAACAAACAAAATGTTAAAATACGGAAGAGACAACCAATAAAAGGAAATACATACAAACAGAACAAAGAGGATCAAATGATCAATGTAATTATCCTGGAATAACGCTTCGCAACAGCATCCTCAAAGTCTTCACTAGGAGGATGTTAGAGGAAATAAGGGCAACTATGCAAATCCGCAAATAAAAATGTTTTCTAAAAATAGGTCTACCATTAATGATGCTACTTTCATTGTGAAACAAATAACATAAAAATCTCTAGAGTTAAGATCGAGATGACTAAAGCTTTTGACCGAGTGCGATTAGCGGACATCAATGGGAATAATGCGGGTAAACGAAGTGAGCCAGGTATTAATAAAACTAAAATGCGAGATCAATAACCACTGTAGAACTAATATAAAAGTAGGACATCTATTAACTGAAGAAGTGCAAATACGCACAGGAATAAGACAACTCGACTCAATGAATCAGCAAAACAATTAAATATGATCATTAATACAGATAAAACCAAATCATCAAAAGCGCCAACAAGATTCAAACTGGAGATTGATCAGACAATTGTAGTCCAATTAAATCACTTCAAATATTTAGGAGTTGAAATAGCAATTTATGAAAATCTACAGAGTTAAGTCAAAAAAGAAACTATAAAAGCTCCTACAATTTTAGGATTTCTAAGAGACTTTGTGTGAAAAACATATGCAGCTGAAACAAGACCAGACACATCCAGTACATTACAAATCATGCGAACCATTGAAATGAAAATAATAAGAAGTATTCACAGAAGAACACTGCACAACAGAATAAAAAACGAAGAACATAGACAACAAAGCAAGATACAGGACATAGGAAGGTCGGTGATAGAAGAAAAATGCCAAAAGCGCCATCATCAGATTTAAATATCAAAACAAACCCATAATTGGGAAACATTAGATTCTTTATAGGCTTGGCTCTTCAAAATCTCACATTTTTTTCTTGTTGAAGACAGCCCAGTCTACAAAGAATTTAATGTTTCCCAATTATGGTTGTGTTTTGAATTTTAAATCTGATGATGGCGCTGTTGTCTCGCCGAAACGTAATATTAAATAAACGATATAAACATTTTATTTCACATTTCGGTTGAAACCCACGAAAGAAAAAAAGATAATAATTATTTCCGTTAAGTTAAGCGTTCGCAGTAAGACAGTAATAAAAAGCGAAAAAAAGCTAAGCACCATAGTTTATACGAAGATGCATCTTAAATTCTTCTAAATGTATGTTGTATTAAAATTTAGCTCCGTTTTCAGTTCTCTATTTCTCTGCAACCAAGAATTACCTAAATGTTTTGAAAAAAAGAAGTAATCACTTTGTGTTTATGAAAACTGACAGTACAATGCAATATAATCTTTGCAAAACCCATTAAACCATTTAGTTTTATTTATAAAGTTAATTTATCTAGGTTTAATTTCGATCATTCATAAAGTGTGACAATTAGAAAAAAGCAATTTAGAACAACTTGTAAACCAGAAAAAAACCATTCTCCATTAACCGATTAATAATTACATTCCAAAAATGGTTTTCGCGAAATTTTACGAATTACTTTACATATGGCAACAGTTTAAAAGGCCAAGGTCGCTGATACTATTGGCCTCAGATTAGACCATTTTTACCGGCTGCGACCTTTTCTTTGATATTGTTTGACCACGTACTTACTGTTGACGTCGTTCGGTCGACTTATTCAAAGCTGAGGAATAAGTTTGCGTACGTACGAGTGTTTGCAATTCAATTAACAAGCGTTGAGCCAAACAACTGTAGAAGCTATTGTCGTTATATCCAGGAGTAAACGATTAATAAACGCATAAGAAAGACTAAACTAAAGTTTATACTTTTGTGTTTTAAGTTTCAGTTAAGCTTTTTTAAACTGAAAATCTGGAAGAAATTAATTTTTTAGTATTGTTCTAGTACTAAAACTGTAGGTAGATTATTTCTACCCACAAAGAAAATACATTTTTGGTAACGATAAAAGGAAAATAATCACCTTCAGGTTCTAAATTGTAACAATAAGTGCTAGTCGTCTGACACTCATTCTAGCACGGTTAAATGATTTAGATAGTTCGATAATTATTCAAAAAGACCAGTAAAATCCGTAAAAAAGCCACTTATATTAATGTATGAGTAAAAGATATTCGAAGGTAAAATATGATAAAGTAAAACATAGTTTCCTTATAGTTCTATAAGGAAAGCAAACATATATTCTTCCATTAACAATGTAATGCTTTCCACTGTATGTGGAACAATATGGAGCCATTCTCATGGTAATTAAATGTTCCTTGATAATAATTATTACGTAATTCCGGAATGAGTTAAACTATTGAATCAAAATCAGCATAAAGTGACTGTTTAACATCGCAATCACATTGTCCATATTCGATGAATGAAATTTTTATAAATAACCAGCACATTTTCATTAACTAAATTCGTCGAAAGTCGTTGAGCTTTAACAAACACGGATATTGAATTCGTTTTATTACAACGGGTATTAGACATGCGGATGTAGCAAAACATAATTTATATTGAAAAAATTTGGCGAAGAAGGTGAATAACTGAAAGTCTACCAAGAAGTTTTTCCATGCGGTTTGAGGTTGGTTAGCGCAACAATGGTAGGACGTATTTTCCAAAGGTGAGCTAAATCCGCAATTTAAACTTGCTCAAATCCTGCTAAAACCATTAAGTGGGTTTAGAGCATTATTTAGTTCATTTACAAACTA